CATAGGGGGACTTGGCACACTGGACAGCATCTTCTCAGGAAGTTTTTACAACTGCACAAGTGATTTTGAAGGGGATGTTACATGTCAATGACTCTCAGTCAAGGCCAGGGCAATGAAACTAATGCTTAGGTTAGAAAGATTCTCCCAGGAGTACACTGAACCAGGTTCTCCATAGAACGAGGGGAGCTGGAGTGTGTGGCTGTAAAGCCCGTACTCTCCCTCCCAGACAATTCAAGTGAAGAGGGTCTAGAAGTGGCATGGGTCACATCTAACTGGGGAAATCAAAGAAGACTTCATGGAAAAGACAGCATTTCAAACGGGCTTTGGAGAATGAAGGTAGTGAAAGGGGTGGGTGGCTGGGGAAGGAAGTGTGTTCCAGTGTGGTAAACCACATATGTAAAGTATATAAAGTGAAGTAGTAGGAATGAGGCTGGACAGGAGGGTTAAGGTCGAATCACAGAGGGCCCCAAATGACAGGCCGAGAAGGCTGCATTTAATTAAATCAGAGGACCCACTGAGTAAGAAGGTAACCTGACATGAGGGGATCAGAGAAAAACCAGACTCCCAGAAACTAGCTAGGAGGCTACTGCACTAGTCCAGAGGAGAGGTAGTAGGCACTGAACCGCAATGGAATAGAGGCCATAGTTGCAAGAGATACTGGGGAGGTTTGTGGGTCAGATGGGAGGACCCCACTGAGAATTCAAGGTGCTGAGTCTTGGGGAGGAAACGGGGAACAAGGCAAAGCTATAACCAAAATGTGGACTTGACCAGAGGGGCTGATGTGGGCAGGGGGCAGGGACAATAAGTTTGGTCTTCAATAGGGAGAGTATGAGCTGCCAGAGCCCATGTGGAGATATGGGACCAAAGCTCAGGAGAGGGGCTGGTGGGAGAGGAGACAGGGACAGTCAGTTGGGAGTCACTGACCCATGCTGGTGCAAGCTGAAGATTAAGGAGAAGAAAACAAAGGAAGATGGCAGAGGACAGGTGCCACCTGGATATCATCAGGCTACCTCTTTTTAAAGCTTCCTGAGGACAGAAGGAAGAAAAGGAGACAGAAGTCAGAGGACAGATCTTTGGAGAACAAGAATTAGGAGCATTCAGCGATGTCACGGGCCATGAAGAAGTGCAGGGGTCAGAGTGGAGAAGTGACCATTGGATTTGCAGTTGGGGACTGTCATGGGTGACCCTGGCAAAAGCAGTTTCAGGGGGCAGAAGTCAGACTGCAAAGATTTAAGGGGCAAGAGGCAGGGGATACAGGCGGCTTAGACTCCTAGGAGGAGGGAGGAAATGGTAAACGGGGCTGGATACGGGGCTGGATACGGTGAGGGTGAGGCAAGCGAGCACTCAGTCTCTGGGGTCCTGGGAGAGACTGTGATGAGGAAGGGCATAAACCCGGAGACCCAGAGAGATGAAACCCTCTGAGGCTAAAGGAGAAGAGACAACCCAGTAAGAGAACTAAGAGACCCAGACAGAAACTAAGACCCTGCAACCTCATCCTTAAACACAGGGCCAGTGGCCAGCAGCAGAGGACACGAGGCTGGTGGAGGGAAGGGGCGGATGCAGGGGCTGAGGACACCCAGAGAGACCCGGGGAGTGCCAGGAAACCCGGGAGGGAGAGCAGTGTCCTCAGACCCTCTTGGAGGCTCACTTGTATTGGCGGGGGGGGGTGTCCCAGGATCCTCAGGGTCAGACTGGAGAAAGCAGGAGTGGAACTTTCTCCTTTCATCAGGCTGCTCCTGTTCAGGCAAACTTGTGGCCCTAGCTCGGGAGGTGCCCCCCCCCCCCCCCCCCCCCCCCCCCCCCCCCCCCCCCCCCCCCCCCCCCCCCCCCCCCCCCCCCCCCCCCCCCCCCCCCCCCCCCCCCCCCCCCC